GTATTTTTAACACCTTGTCAATAAGGCAACTTGTAGCTTTTATAATATCTAATGCTGCGGGTATGTCACATTCTATAGAGTCATAGAATATGTAATTAAATGCTATACATTCAATGCCTCAATGTTTCAGACATAGAATACCGACCACTCAACTACAGAAGGTGTAGTGAGTGTTTTACTTGCTATATTCTAGCAGGTCTTAAATATTACATGTAATACCAATTCCAAGACCCTTTCAGCACCAGATTAATTTTGATACTTATATGTAGCATTATCACAACAAAAATGATGGCATAACTGTATCACTAGCTCTGGGTAAAATTTAAAATAATTAAAGTGATAAAATGCCATTGAATTCTTTCTATTGCAGTGTCATTTATATTACTGAAAATTAAAAAAAAATCAATATAAGGCAAATAACAAAATGTGAAATGGTATTCCCAAATCACCAAAACGTAACATTAATACTATAACTTTGATAAATATATTTGCACATAACACTCAAAAGTGTGGTTTTCATACAACTATGCATGAACTAATTAGGGATATGTATATACATATATTTATACATATATACATATATACACATATACATATATACACATATATACATATACATGTATACATATATACATATATATATTATTGTATATATGTATATACAATAATAATGAAAAAAGAGGCTGTGAATTTGAAGACATGTGAGGAAGGATATATGGGAGGGTTTGAAGGAAGAAATCTGAAAAAATTACAATCTGAAAAACAGACATAACAACTTTATATGTAAAAACTCTGATTTTTAGGAATAAAGGTAAGTTTTAATTGTCTGTGGGTAAGCTACAACTCTTTAAATTATTTTGATATAAATGATAAATTATTACATTATTTGCTGTTTAAGAAATTCATGACTGAAATAATGTTGAAATTGTTCATACTAAACAGAATAAATAGAAGACCAATAAGACAAAAAAAAAAAATTCCCAAACAAGACAGTCTGTAAATATATCCCTAGAATTCATTTTATGATACAGGAAGTAGATTCAGGCTCCCATCCTTAACTGATAACTTATCTGCAATTTGATACCCACTGACAGAGGAAAACAGAACCAACTTTAATGGAGTATCATTGCATATGTTAACTACACCACAGGATAGACCCCATGGCCAGGAGTTCTTGTACATTGTACACTTGACTTCTCCATTCGTCACCGTCTGCTTTGACATTGGAATGAATTGTCTCCTCTTGAGAAATACCACTTTTCATATTGTTCAATCTCTTTTCTTCTCTTGCATTCTAAATATGCCAGCTACATCATAGAGGCATTTAACAAACGAATGATGAATAAGATGGAAATGATAGTGAACAGGGAGAATTGGTGTGGGAAAATGAAAGCGAATGGAGAAATATTAAGAGAAAACAAAATGAGTATAGATATCAGTGTACTAAAAAAAACACACACAGATATGTTGTGGGGAAAAAATTACAGGGCCACAGCGGTGGGGTCCGTGGGGGTTTCCACAGCTGTGGCTGGTCCCACATGTGGGAGGAGGTCTATGGTTCTAGCGGCCTGGAGGCTTTGGCGGTGGCAGGCCCCAATGACACGAGGAAGTCCTTGGTTCCAAAAGGGTTTATTGTCATGGCGGATGGTAGATGGATCTGAAAGTAAGCGCCCCTCCCGGCATAAAACTCAGGCCTGTCCTGAGTTACATAGGGAGGGAGAAAGGGGCAGGAAAGGGGGAGGATCTGGGGAGGCATACTTAATTTGCCTTCATTAGTATGTAAATCCCTAGGGCCTGAGGCCTATAGTCTGGCCTCTGGCCTGTGTGACTGAACAACGTAGATCTATGGAGGCTAGACTGCTTTTCAGGACCCTGGATTCTGGGGGCGGCACCGAACTCCTGCAGGTTCTCACGGAGAGTCACTGAGTTCTAGGCACCTGCCCAGCCAAGAACCAGAATACCCTTATGCAGTCCCACAATATGTTTTACAAAATTCAATAGTGGGAAATATACATGGAGCTGTAATGTTAAAATTAGATAATCAGAAGGAAACTCGGAGGTCTGGATGTTTAAAATATTAACCAGATACAAGAATTAGAAAGTATTTCAAAGGTAACAAAAAATTATCCAGCCATAATTAGGATAATTCGAAGTAACATATTTGCTTAATTATTAAACAATGAATAATATTCTATAGCACTATCCAAAAATATCTTCAGTTTTCTTAATGCCATTCAGGTCACGAAAAAACTGAAACCCATTATATTTTAAAGTAAAATCATCTAGAAAAGACTATGAAGAAAATGAACATAATGTGGTGGGCCAACTCCCATGATCCCACACTGAGATTATGTGTGTTTCCGTAAAGGAGAAAACCAGGGATGATCATCAGGCAGGATGTATCTTCCCCAGTAGAATTAAGCAACCATTTTGATTTCTATATGTGAACACAGGCTACTTAGGTAACTGTAGCAGTTAGATCAGTTCTCATGTCTAAAAGATCATCAGGTAATAAGTTCAAGAGAAATGAAATAACAATATTATAAAATCAGCATTTTTGGAGGAAAGCCTACCCTTTAACAGATATTTATCATTGCTTTTACAAGACTGTCTTCTAATGGGGGGGAGGGAGGGAGGGAAGGAGGGAGGGGAGGAGGGAAAGTGGATCTGGATAGGTAAGTTAGGAGGATCTGGGAGGAATATAGGAATGGGGAAACATTAATATTGTACAAAAAAGTCCTATTTCAATTATGTAAAAAATAGCTAGATGCACACTGGTGTGATTTAATGATCAATGACCATAATCACTCTTCTTTTGCTCAATAAAAAGACATCTCTAAATTAAAAAAATAGAAAAAAATCAGCATTTTGTAATGATATGGATGTCTGTGATGGTTGGGTCCAGCTACCAAAGCATCTCTCTACTGACAATAAAAACTTCAGAAACAAAGAAGTCCAGCCATATGTGTCTCCACACAGGGAACAGAAAACAGACAGACCACCACCAAGTAACACTAGAAGACAAATCAAGATACAGTTCATCAGATTTCTAGACAGAAATGTAAATTAATTCTAAGTACAGCAAAGAAGTTCGAAGGTTTCCATAAAAAAATTTCTAAAAGTTTTCAATTGTTTTTTTTTTAATTATGTGTATATGGGGGTTGTGTGAACATGAATACAGGTGCTCACAAAGGCCACAGCTTTGGGTCCCCTGGAACTGGAATTACAGCCACTTGCAGGTAGTCCTCATATGTGTGCTAGGAACAAAACCTGAGTCCTCTGGAAGAACAGTGATTTTCATGAACTACTGATCTATATCTCCATCCCAAATAAAAGGACTTTGAAAATGTTTGTCACTACCTGGACAACTGCTACAACTGTAGCTTGCAATATGTGATTTGGAAAGCGATACGGAAGCAGAAACAGCTTTTGCGGATGTTACATTTAAGTTTCTGATGTTTACTGAAAAGTTGGATTTGCTTTTCAGGTTAGACTTACATGGAAATATTCTTGGGTATAAATGAATATTTACATCTAAAGCAGAGAGTTACAGTCTTCCTTTCAAATAAGTTTAGAAAACACACTCAAATAGTTTATAGCAATTATGGCTATTGGTACTCTGCTGTAGAAGTATCTACTGAAAAAGAATCTCAGTATGCAAAGAATCTTTTTTCATTGAAACTTGTTTACATTTTTGATCATTGTGTGGGGGAGGTAGTACACATGACTCAATATACGTGTAGGAATATGAAGACAACTAGTGGGAGTGTACTCTCTGCTTACACTGTATGAATGTTGTACGTCGCTTAGGCAATCAGATCTGTTTGCAATCACATTTACTCTCTGGGACACCTTGCCAACTTCCTAAAATTATTATCTATCCTAATATAATACTTTGTATGCTCTAATATGTGCATATAAATTGATCCTATTTATCATCTACCCTCCTCTGCAACTCCTCCCAAATCACCACACATTTCTCCTGAATGTCAAATCCTCTTTTTTATTTTTTATTTTGCTAAAATTATTTTTAAGACAATATTTGCTATCCTTTAAGCACATTTGGAAAACACAATTAGAGGAGAAAACATCAAAGAATCTGAGAAATTCTGAAATCCTGTGTCAACCAGTATGTTTGGAAGACAGTTCTCATGACCTCAACTTGATGAATTAAGATAGGAGGGCAGGCCCTAAAGATCTGAGATGCTGTGGAGAAGATCCTGTGTTCCAACACAGGACAGCAGAGTGCACATAACATGATGGGTAACTACTAGAAAACCGACTGCTTAGATTTCCCAAGAAGACTGGATACAGACAGTGAAGCTTCTAAATGCAGGCAGGCAAGCCCTAAAAAAAACTGTTGGAGCAAGAGAAAGGACCTGTAGGGGAGATATTGACTCTGCAATTGGTTGTTGATTGTGTCAATAAAGGAGGCAGAAGCCAACCGTTTGGGCAAAGAGAAAAAGGTGGGACTTTCCAGTCCCAGGAGGCTAAGAAGGGAATGAGAGGGAAGAGACAGGGCAAGCGGTGGAGCAGGGGAAGTGGCAGACGTGTAGGTCTCAGGGCACCTATAGTTTGTAGCCTCTGCCATAGACAGAGGTCAAGAAGGATAGGGCACGATATTCTTCGTCTAGGCATTGAGTTATCTGGCTAGTTAAAAAATATTAGGGCTGTGTGGCGTTTTCCATCTGCAGTAACTAAGGTGGGCAGGAGAAAGGGCACAGCCGGAGGGAGTAGTCTGGTCATTGGCAGCCTTTCATAGGCAGCCACAAGAAATTGAGGAAGCTAAAGCAGAGGTCTCGAGAAAGAGCTAACATGTTTTAAAATTACATGCAGCACAACCTGCAAAGGGACACAAAGCTCAGTGATCATAAGATACATTTGTCTGAATGGAAATTTTCTCATGCAAAAAGCAGATTCTCTCTTTACCAAAGTACAGTACAAACAGGAAGAACTTTATCCTACCTACAGGCTTTCCATTTTCAGTCATCTCCACTTACCCACAAGGCCTATAGGTGAACACAATGTAACTTTCTTCATCGCTTCTCTCAGTGAAAGTCACGCAGGTGTGCTTTTCCCAGTGTCTCATGGCCTGCTTGAACATGGCTCTCTGGCTGCCTGGAAGAATTCACGACGTTAATAAAACAGTGTGGGCTTATAAGGAAGTAGGCTTTGTGCTGGCTTCCCCATCCTGGCTGGCAGTTCAAGATGACAACCAGCATTGACATCAACCAAGTCTGGTTCACGTCACTACAAACAAGTCATTGTTGAGTATCCATACTCATTTTATAATCAGAGGGCTAAGGCCCACTAGCACTACAAATTTGTGAGTTCTTTTTACTTTCTCTTAGTAAAAAGAAGCTGCCTTTCTACAACAAACTGGAAACCTAGTTTAAAATCCAGCACAATACTTTAGACACTAAAATACAAGACTAAAAATATTTTGGTTTAAGTTCAGAAATGACTGAAATTAGCATTCCAAGTTAATCGAGCCCTTTTTTAGGTTTGATTATACAGTATATTTTCTATACTAATATACTATGCAAAATATGACTTGTATAATAGAATTCCTTTTTTAGAAAAACACACATACTCACTAGGATTGTCTTACCAGTAAAGTTTCCTCCTATGACATAAGGAATGACGCCACCAGGCCATATCCTTTCTGTTCTTGACGTCGCAGCTCTGGGGACTCGATTTTTCTCATTTTGTTCTGACAGTTTTGAAGATGCTTTTCCCTTCATGGTGTTATTTTGCTCCAAGCCTGCAGTGACATTTAAAACATTCTATCAAACAGAAGTCCTCAGTGAGAATCATATACCTCTTAAAGGATAAAAGTTAAAATATCTTACATATGTATTTTCACAAATATGCGTGATCTACATTAAAGGAAAATGTCATTTTACATGCTTACTAAAGACATGCAAATATTTAAGTACTCTATGCCTCAATATAATTTCTTAATGCCCTATGAGTGAGTCAAAATGAATTTCTACATTGCAGATAACAGGGGACAGAAGTCTAGCAGAATATAATGTCATAGAAAAACTGTCTTATGCTGACTGTCTTATAAGCCCATGAGCCATTCGTCATAATTGATAAAATATCACTTCCAAGATTATTTCTTTAAGTCATTCTGTCCAAATATTTAATCACTGCAATCAAGGTTGCTATTCCAATAGTACAGCCTAAAGCCATAAATATTACAGCATATAAAGAGTTAAGAAAAATATGGTACAATAGGCTGTCTCCATCCCTATCTCCTGGGTTTGAATCCAGCTATCAACCTGACTTAAAGGCTGCTACAACATTGTAACATAAAATGCTGCCCATTAAGAGGAAACTCCAAGTCAAGAGTCTTTTTTTCTTTCCAATTCTTGGAATTTTTATTGCTGAGTTTGCTTTTCATAGACGTCTGTGAGTATTCTTTTCATTTATCAATCAATGTCACTGCGATGTCTCTTGCTATTAAGTGCTTTATTGTGATAAATTCTGAACATAGGCTCCTAGGACAAAGTCTTGAATGTCTATCTCCTCAACGTCCTTGAGCCTTGTCTAATACAACGTCCTTGTATTAGAAGAACCACTTCTGGAAAGCAAGCTCTTTGGCCAATGAATTATTAATCTATCAACTGAAAGCATATTAGGATACGAAACACAAATAAAGGACTTTGCAGAAAGTTTTCAGAAACTACAAATGGTGATCAATTTAATATTATGGGTATGGACTGATTATGAAACCACAATAAAATTTTTATGAAATATATACAATCATACATAAACATGTTACTATTATTTGGTGTTTTGGTTGTTGTTTTTAAATTTATTTCTTTTCCTGTGTATGGGTGTTTTGCCTGCATGTATGCCTGCACACTACATTTCTACTTGATACCTGCAGAAGCCAAAAGAGAACATCAGGTACCCTCGGACTGAAGTTCGCTATAAGCTCCAATATTGGTGCAGAGAATTGAACCGAGGGCCTCTGGATGAGCATCTAGTGCTCTTATCCACTGAACCTGTGCTCTTGTTTTATTTTACTTTGATTATGGCTTGTTTTGGCTATGGTATTGGTTTGGTTGTTTGTTTTGGTTATATGCTTGCTGTTTATTTATTTGTTTGTTTGTTTGTTTTGAGGTAGGGTCTCTTGTATTCCTACTATTCACAATGTAGCTCAGACCACCTGTAGCTTATGGCAATACATGTCACCCAGCTCCAACATGCTAAAGATTATAGGCATGAAGCACCATGATGGGTTCAACTGTTTTCTAAACAGAAATAGCCTTAAGTAGCATTAATTTAAAAACAAATACTGCTGTGGCTTTTTTTGCATTTAATAAAAATTGATGCAGATTCATTGCCTATAGAAATATTTTAGTATAAAATCTAATCACTGGAAATACATGTCAATAATAAATTAATAGATCATCTCATATAAGAAAAACCTTAAAATAAAGGAATATTTCCTTTTTCTCTAGTTTAAACTCTTAAAAACTGTGCATGAAATACCAATTAACAACACACAATGAATAAGGGATACTGCCAGCATATCCTTTACCTACTTCACAGAATAGTGGCCCACTGATCTTAATTAACTGAATTTCTATGGGTATCATATTCACTGTACAGCAAGTCAAGTGTCTGCAACTTTAAACATTGTTATACCAGAGCCAATTCTTCTGATCCTGTCTATAAGTTGGTAGAGTGCCCCTCGTTTCTTTGGCATGCCATGGTCTCCAAAGCCACCTAAAGAACAAAAATACGTATGTATTAAGTCTAACACCAATGCTGGTTCTTGCAAATAAACAATACTAATACTGCTCATTTCACATTGGTCAAGTTTTTATGTGCAATTAGTGTGTTAGAAATTAATGCCCATGAATCTGTGCAGAGGGTAAAGTTTGTACAGGAACACGTTAGTAACTAAAAATAAGGAGACAGGCAAACTTCAAAAAGCAACTTAAAATGACTTTATATGGGCATGGTGAAAATTGAGTTATTGATAATCTGAAACATCTTTCTTCTCTGTGACATTAACACCACCTGTTGTCACATAACCATGTTATTCAGGTTGACAGGAAGTCCCAGAGCCCTATTGATTGTTTCCCGGTGATTTCCATGTAAACTGAGTCTGTTCAGATATCTTTCCAGTAAGTGGAAGTCAAAACACTAGAAGAGCAAGCTTGTAGGGAAAGTTTTGTACTGAAATATCAAGTCAAATTTTAGAATACATTAAGTAATGTTTTTAAAGTTATTTTCTCTAAATTATATAATCAAAGGAAGTCACACGGTGAATACTTCAATGGAGTACTGCAAAATGTGTTGCTTTACAGTATGTGATTTGCAAGATTTGAAAAAAATGAAAAACTGTTAAAGGATGTTTTAGAATATAAGAAAAAAAGCGGAGAGGAATAAAGAAATCTAACGTCTTAAACAAAAGTCAAATGCCCTTATAAGGCAAACTGGTGGGAGTATGGGCTACTGGACTGCTTAATTGTTTGCATTACATGGTCACATTTATGCTGTGCATCTTGAGAAAAATTTTTGAAATTTTTCCATCAGACATTTCAGAAAGATGAGGTCATACTGAAATGTACTAATTCCTAACAAGCTACTTGAAATCCTTTTAAAGTGGGGACTGTAAATGTTTGAAATGACCAGTACATGACAACCTTATTTATATTAAATAGGGTTGAAGTTCATGTGTAACTAGATCTTTAAAGTTCTCCTTGTGAAAAAGAAAGAAACGTCTTGGCCAGTATTGAGTTCTAAGAATAAAAATCATAGAATTGAAAGGCAGTGTTCTAAGCCTGTGAAAGGTAGTCATGTTTGGAAGAATAGTTTAGCAATTTTAAATAATATTTGGAAGAAATGAAATAAAACTTAACACAGGTAGCTCATTAAGCTTTAAAAATTGTCACTTGTTCTAGAACACAATAGGAATAAACAAATCAATAATTTATCTATAAGAGTATTTATTTATAAATATAACTCATATATTTTGAAATTGGAAGAAGAGAAAAGTAAGAGTTCTGTACAAACAAATTAACAGAGAAGGAAAAACAGAGAAAAATCATAAAATACTGGACATTTAAATTATTTGAAACTCATCCAAAGAGTTAGAGTTATAGGTTTTTCTGATCTGTGTGCTTCTCAACCATGCAGTTACAGTGTTTACATGATCAAAACTATCATGTTTCCTATACTATATATTTAAAAAGATGCCATTTTTCCTCCAACTGTGTTTTCTCAGTGTCTAACATTAAATGAAGTGTTATTATTTTTCTAATCGCAGATAATCAGTGGTCCAAAATACTGTGGGAAGTGTGGCGGAAGCAACGACCTAAATAACACTTACAGCCAAGTGGGCTTTAACAGAAACTCAAGATACACTTTAACAAACACAGGGGTTTGCTGAGTAGTGTCTGTTACTGTCCAGAATAAACTGTCCCATAAACGTTGCAGAAAAAAACATACTGCAGGTGAAGGTGCTGTCTAAATTCCATGCAAAGCCAACAGCAAGGGCAAGGGAGGAAGGACAACTAGGACTAAGTGCATGGGAAAATGCCCTTTTGTCATTTGTCCATTTGCCATGTACCTTTATGTATGTGTGAAAAAGTTTGGAGAAAATCAATGCCTTTGAAATTCTGAGTTTCCAAAGCAAATTCTGTGGCCCTTAGCTTTTCATGCACAGCACAGCAGATGTACGTATGCCAATGACAGTTTATAAGATATCTTAGCATATGTACTTATATATATTAAATATATTATCTAAGTATTAACATTTGTATGTGTACATACACTGGCCCAGGCTTCAGGACAGAGTGCCACTATGTAACAAAGGACAAAGCATATAATTTTTTAGTGAATTCTTTTAGCATTCCTCATTACAAAGACATTTCTTTGCTGTTACAATGGTATTTTAACTCCATGGGTTGGTACCCTTATTTTAACTAAAACACATAATACTGAAATGTGATATTGCATTTTATACATATTTTCTGTAATCAATTTCAAAATGTCTTCACACATGTGCATATGTGCAACTACACACACACACACACACACACACACACACAGAGAGCAAACTGTTCACATCTATTCCATTTACAAATTATACCACTGACAACCTTTGCATTATCACTATCATACCATTTTCCCATAGGTTTGAAATTTGCTGAAATAAAAAGGTTACTGAAATGAATGAATGATTTAGACAAAGAAATATTGATGCTCGGTAAAGAGTCTTCACTCTATGGCAGACTTATCTGATACATAGCAGAGAGGAATTGCATACAAATTTAATATTACACAGGATAAGAATGGAAAAAAATAACGAAAGGAAGAATTAAATAAGATAAAATGCATGACATCAAATAAAGTCTAAATGCCTACTACAGCACCATATGATCATAACAGCACTTGAGAGGTGAAGACAAGAGGGTAGGAAGTTTGAGGCTAGCTTGGGCTATATAGCAAGATTGAAGCTAGCCTGGCTGCTTGAGACACTTTTTTAATAGATAATATATTTATATTACAATAAATGTTTATTATCTATAAATATTTATATAATGAGAATACTTATACAAATCTAAGTATATTTAATTCATATGCATATATTTGCATAAATAAGTATTAATATGTAATACATATAATATTAATAAATACCACATGAATAAGTATTTATTCATCAGCTAAAACTAAAAAACAAATTCTACCCTTCCAATCTCCAATAGAATAAAAATTTTACTAAGAAAGTATAAGAAAAATATTTAAACCTTTGAAGATAATATTTTAAGCCTCTGTGTTTTTATATAGGCATAATTTAAAAGTGTTCAAAACAACTAAGATTGAAATCAGCTCAAGGGTTTTCATAAAAGTCATTGGTGCAGAGCCAAGCAGGGAGCACAGTGACAAATGGCAATTTAATAAGGCTATGATTGAAGCCTAAACTTTAGGCTTACTTCTATGGACAAAGTCAAATGATGTGGGGTTTTAAGCATATCCACAGAATGTCAATTATATTTTCTCCAAAAGTATTATAAATGCATTCAAATAATCAGCCATACCTGTGATATGTCCAAGTTTTCCAAAGGGGCTCTGAGTCAGGTCAATTGTCCTGTCTATTTGGAAGATATTTAAATCTTCATCGTCTAAGGCGATGTCACCCCAAAACACAGCTAAAAGCAAGAAGTGGAATTAAAATGTAAAAAAAAAAATTGGAATAAAATCAATGCAAATCAAATTATGTATAAGACATTATAAAGGCTTAGGGGCGCTGACTCAGAGGTGAAGAGCACACACTTTTCTTGCCAAGGACCTACATTTGCTTGCAGCACCTAGCTCGGTGCCTCAGGGGCACCTGTAATGCCAGCTGTATGGCCATTACACTCAGGCACAACTACTTGCCACACCCCCATATCAACATAATGAAAAATAAACATTGGGTTTTTTTTGTTTGTTTGGTTGGTTGGTTTTTTTTAATAGCACATATTTAAGATAATCTTACCTCGGTCAATTAGATTTCTCAAGTATAAATACATGCTCCCACCCAAAAACTTTGGCATTTTTACAGAAAGGAAAAATTATTTTGCTCAAATGAGCTGGTCTACAAGGTGTTGAAAGCAAGAAGAAGCTGGTACCCTGACAGAATCTGAAAACTGAGGAAGATCTGACATGAATATTCTGTGGATGCCTGTGGCCCTGTGCAAGTCTTCACCAAGAGTTGGAAGCAGTAACCAGAAAACCATGGACCATGAGGAGTCAATTCAGCAAGATACACTCCAAACTAGGAAGGCTGTACTGAGCCAGCCACTCACTCAGCAAGCTGTGTATGCTGCTGAGGTATAGGCTTAAAGTCCAACTTGCTTCTGGATATCTAGAAATGCATACACAACTAAGAAACTTAAGTTTTAAGCCAGTTTTGTTAGTTAATTTGTTTAGGCACCCTGGGTGCTGTGGCATTCATTTTTAATGACTAATAAAATATGGTTTGTCATTTTAGGAACCTCAAAATCATTTTCATAACCCAAAACAAACAGGTTCTAACCAGGGATTTATGCTACCTGAAGAAGTAAAGATCTATAAACCACTGTGAGATAATGGATCTCAATTAAAAATAGCATGCAAATTTATCATTTAAGATTATAAATAAGAACATAATAATGAAACTGCTGCCTTGATCAATTCCAAACTAAGTCCACTGAGTACAATGTACCAAAAGATGTCACAGTATACTGCCTTCAGAGAGCTAGACAGAGAAAATGAATTTATCATGATAGAGAAAACTCTAAGAAATGCCTAGAAGTTCCAAGATTATTTCTTTGTTTTTTTAACTTTCTTTCCGTTTTAATATTGGTTTACAAATATCCTTTTTGTTTAAATTAAATTCAGATTTTCTTCTATAAAACAAAACAGTGAAAGGAAAACAGGAAGACTTATAAAGTGATCACAACTATCCTTTTCAATTTTTTAACATCTACGGAATTTTAATTTTTACCTTTATGAATTTTAGCACTATAAAGAACCAGTTTTTAGGAAAGTAGTGAACTTACCAAATTTAACTCCAATCTTAAAGGTCTTGAATTGTTTGGGCTTTCATCAAAGGCTGGTCATATTATATAGTTAATTTAATTGCCTGACAAGTTTGGGTCCCCCATACAAAACTGACAGGAGATGGGAAGGGTCAGATTGATGTCAAATCAAGACAGGAAGAAATCAGAACTTGGTTCAAAGTATACTACTGGTTCAGAGTATGGAAAATTCTTTCTTAAGAATTCTAACTTCGCCGGGCAGTGGTGGCACAAGCCTTTAATCCCAGCACTTGGGAGGCAGAGGCAGGCAGATTTCTGAGTTCAAGGCCAGCCTGGTCTACAGAGTGAGTTCCAGGACAGCCCGAGCTATAAGAGAAACCCTGTCTTGAAAAACCACAAAAGAAAAAATAAAATTCTAACTTCAAATTCCCTTCTCAGCAGTTCTCTCCTACCCTGTCACCAAGGCTGAACACTGTCACTAGAATGGCAGTCAAATCTGGGTAGAGAGAGGCTTACTTTCACTTATGATCATGAAAACAAAGTCACAGAGAGAGAACAGGGTATAACACTGAAAGCCTTGATGCTCCAAATTAAATCCAGACTCTAAACTTGAAGCCCACTTTATACACATGATGCAGAAAAGGCAGCAGCTCCTACACCCCTAAAGCCTTGTATCCCATGAAAAAGAAAATCTACCTTAGTTTATTAGTTTTTTCAGTCACAACAAAAGAATCATCTTTGGTTTTCATTAATATAGATTTTCACATTCAAGATTTTCAGGTATGTTCAAGTTTGCTACTTTTGAAAACACTATTATTTTGTATATATTTCTGAGTAATAGGAGTGACCACAAGGAGACAGTCAGTTCACCTCTCCCTCAATGCTGTAGTCTTGTAGACAACTGGAGAGCCTAAATCAGGGAGTCTCTAAATTTGCTCAAGAATCAGAGACTCCACTTAAAATGAAAGGCCAGGATTGAGATGAATCTCTGCATTTAATAAGGAAACTCCCAGTCACGGAGAATGATTATCACTGTCATCATCTTTAATATTACTTGTTTTTATTTCTTTAAGAATAAATATTCAGAGTGGCTGACTAGAAGCCCAAAGCACTGTGGCCATTGAAGTATTGATATTTCAGAGTAAAACTGTAGTAAAAATGTAATAAAACTCTAATCTATAGAGTTTCAGTAGATTAAAATCTGAGTGTTGTTTTGGATTTTTATTTTCTTGTATGGCATTTTATATAAGGAAGGCACAAATTCCCTGATGTGCCTATGTGCACCAAACACCCCTAACAAGGCAAGGATAAGACAGTTACAAAAGAAAAATCATTATGCCTGGAGAAACAGAAAAAGAAGAACATAAAGAGAGGAGGTGGTAGAGGAGAATAGGGAGAACAAGAAAATGAAGAGGAAGAGAACAAAGTGGAAGAGGAGGAGGAGGAAGAGGAGGAGGAGGAGGAAGGGAAGGAGGAAGAGGAGGAAGAAGAGGAGGAGGAGGAAGAGGAGGAGGAAGAGGAAGAGGAGGAGGAAGAGAAGGAGGAAGAGGAGGAGGAAGGAGAGGAGGAGGAGGAAGAAGAGGAGGAGAAAGAGGAGGAGGAAGAGGAGGAGGAGGAAGAGGAAGAGGAGGAAGAAGAGGAGGAGGAAGAGGAAGAGGAGGAGGGGAAAGAGGAGGAGGGGGGCATTCCAGATGATACTTAACTAGCATCAAAACCATTCTGAGGAATATAAACCCATTTTATTTATACTTTGTTACAATTTGTGGCTTCAGATACAGCTTAGCAAACAGTTTTAGTTGCTTCATAAACTGAGTGGTCAAGGAAAAAACTAAGTACTTCCTTGAAAGTCATGAGAGATAAAGCCAACTGGCTTATATGTTGTCAGGACACATATTAAACCCAACATCTTCAAATGCATACTAACAACAACAGCAGCAGCAGCAGCAACAACACACCACACAACACAATACAACAACACACACACAATGATTCACACTCTACATTTAAAATGCCCCATTTCTTATGATGGCATATAATTTTAGGTTTTCTCCTTGTATCTCTAGTTATATCTAAGTGTTGTTTTCTGTACAACAGAATATTCTGTGCAAGCCTTGGTCCATCAAGCTATAGCATGGCAATTTGTACTGTCTATATAGCTTCTTCACAGAATCTTCCATAGATTTGATATTTAGTGGCAAAGAAATATATAAGCTTCTAGATTCTACTGTGGAAATTTCTTTTGTTTCCCTTTTCTCTATTTTAACCATGTGATATAATTTTACAACAAAGAAAATTAAAGAGTAAAAGTATCATTTCCATTTTAAAAAGTGATTTGACAGGGATGAGGTTAGAGCTGAAAGAACCTGGGAAGATTGTCTACAGGATGACACTGTGGAGTAAGTACCCAAATGGAATTACAGTATTTCCTCTCCATCTGTAATTCTGTTGAGATTCCTGTGGCCCAAAGGAAGCTGGAGCTAACTGGCAAGCCAGAACTAAATGTTGAAAGGGCAATTGTGAAACTACATGCAAAATCACAAGGTTTCATTTTTCACCTAAAGGTCACTTGTCTTCAGTGTACAACAAAATTGGCAGTGAGAGAGACCAAGATGCTTGCAGTGATTCTTCTATGGTACACAAAATAAATGTACTTTATAAAATAATGTATGGTGAGACTATACAGTCTAAAATATGACTCTCCATATATTCCTGTAAGGTGTTTTGAACCACACAACGTAAATTATAGAACTAACAAACTGTTTAATTACACACTGTTAAGTATAAGACCATTGAGATAGTTTGTAAAGGCACTTGCCACCAGACCTGATAACCTGAGGTTAATCTCAGGACCTGCATGGTGGAAGGAGAAAATTAATCTACTCCTTCAGATTGTAGTGTGATCTCTACATGAATGCTTTGAAAGTCTCATGTATAAACAAACACGTACACACACACACACACACACACACACACACTTGAGAAGAGGGATTTTCAGGGAGAGATGTTTTCTGGGGGAGGGATAGTGAGAGAGTAAATAAATAGCAATTGTATTTTAAAATGCTTAAACAAAAAGAAATGGACATTTTGTCTGCTTCATTCCCTGCTTACCTTTACCTTTTAGTATTGATAATATATCAAAGGTTAACAGTAAAGATGATTAAAGTTTGTAGTATTGAATTTTTTAATCAGTATAAAATATGTACAGGTTTATAAGCAGAGAAAAGATTTTTTTCTGAAGAAAGAGTCACAATACATTGTTATAGAGATCACGCAAATGGCAGAGCTGACGGTCTCACCAAGGACACATTGACTACCCCTAAAGAAGTCAGTATAATTCTTAGGTTGACACCAGTACCAGAACCTTACACCTGGTTGCTATTATACTCGGGAGCTGAGGATGAAAGGCAAGGAGAGTCTGTTGGACCATCCCAATGGAAAAAACACTTCTCTCAGAAAACCCCTACTCTCAAATGTACCAATCAGGTGTCCCTCTGTCTTGCTTCAGGGTGCTTCCATCAACATTAGGCAGACACACAGAACTCTATAAAAATGATTTGGTCATCAAATCTAGACTTTTCAATCTAGATTTGAAGTACAAATCACACCAGGAAGTGCCTGTTTCTCAACTTATTCTGTTTGGTTAAAAC